AGAGTTCAGCCTGCTCCCTGGCCATTCCTTCCTTTTCAGCACCTAGTGGTTTAGCCTACTTTATGTGACAGACACTGTGCTTAATCCTGGAGGCATAATGATAACAAGATGGATGACACTGTCCCCTCACTCAAAGCCTACTGACATCAGACGTTAGTACTAAAATTAAACAAACAGACGGACAAAACAAAAAAACAAAACAAAAAACCAGCCCTCTCTACAGTGGCAGAAGTGGGGTGCCTAGGAGCCCTGAAAGACAACAGCTGTATAATCACAATAATAGTAAACCTAACTACATCAACTGACATTTCCAATATGAAACCTTTAGTATAGGTGTGGAGTGTAGCTTTGTGGGAGAATACCAGTCTAGCATGCAAGAGGCCCCGGGTTTGATCCAAAATGTTTTCTAAGTCATAATACCTAATTTTGCCTACAGTAATACAGCTTAAGATTAATAAGACACTGGAGAGTGTGATGCTCACTGCAGAAGCCACCTGCTTCCCGTACCAGGGCCCTGCCATTTTGAAGGATCCTATGACTACAGATCCTTAGGCTGTGCCCAGCTACTGGCTGAGCCTGTCCTAGTCCTTAATCTTCTGCTTGATAAGGCAAGAGTCTGAAAACAGTGGTTTGGTTTGGTTTTGGTTTTGGTTTTGGTTTGTTTTTTGATTTTTTGGGTTTTGTTTTTGTTTTTTTTTTTTCACTCAGGAATCCAGTACAAAGTCAGACAGGCTTAATGAGGGGCTTTGAGTTGACCACATTAGCACTTCAGGTAAAATCTTAAGCCCTCTCAGGACTCTGATTGTGTAACCATGGAATGTTCTAGTTACCTGCTGGTCTTTCATTGGAGGCCAGAAGGTTTGCAGTAATGACTTCTGCACAGATTTAAAAAAAAAAAAAAAATGCAGTAATGAGCCTAAGCCACAAGCTTGAGATGTCACATAGGCCTGAGTGGGTCTGGTGAAAATGGAGCCTGAGTTCATCATACTCCCCCAAGCAGTTCACATTTTTCTTTATCATTACTGATGCCCCCAACACACCCCGTCACCTTCTCCTTCTACCCCAACATAGTTTCCAACTCAGTGGCCTAAATTCTGACCACATGGAAAACTCCAGTTCCTTATTTGTCCCTAGTCCTTGATGGCCTCCTCTCCTTGTGGCTGGCTCTAGGTTTCCTTTGTCTCTCAAATCACATGCAGAGGGCAAGTGCCAAAATGCCTATGTGATCCCTAATGCCACTCAAGAGAGGACAGAAGGGGCAGGATAGGGGAATAGTCTACTTCAGAGAGAGGCCTTGCTCCCCTTCTTGTCCTCAACACCTTGACATTGAGAGGGGCATACCTCTTACAGTCTGTCCTTCAGAGGACGGAAGAGACACCACCTAAACTGGACAAACATTTACCAAGCTCTCACCCAAGTTCCTTTCCCTGGTGACCTGAGTGCCTACCCTTGAAGCCTTCAGGAGCAAGACCCGAGGCTAATGGGTACTCACACAAGTGTCCCAGTATTGGAATTAAGAACCCACGGACAAGAAGAAACAAAATGGAAATACAGAAGCAGAAGCATGAGTTGTGTTTGTAAGAGAAGGTGACAGCTGCCATAAACTTAAAAACTTTTCATTTACTTGGTCCTGTCCCTCTGTTCAGGCAGTCTCCATGATATGCAACAAAAGTACACTGTGCTACACAATTCCAGTGGTAGCAATGAGTCAGAAGCAAAGGGAGGAAGAGGTGTAAATGAAATGGTTAGAGACTCTTTCAGGACAGTGGGTTAGCCAGCAGGAAATGGATTGGAGTCACTGCTGTCACAGGGCCTCTGGGAGGACCCATAGGCTGTAGTCACTGCTGGGAAGTTATGACAACAAACTTCCCCCTGGGGCCTTTGAACTTGACTTTCTCAGCCTCCATCACTTAGTTGTCTGCTATGACCTGTGAGGAATGAGGCTAGGGCTGGTGGTTTGTCTCTTAGTGGCACCATTCAAATGGAATTGTATTTCCCTACTGATCTTTGATCATTTAAAAGTAGCCACTGCCAGGATTTTTTTTTTTTTTTTTTTTTTTTTTTTTTTTTTTTTTTTTTTTTTTTTTGATTTATAGCCCAAACTGGTTTTGAGCTCACAGCGATTCTCCTGCCTCTTGACAGGTCCATTCCTCTTCACTAACATATCAGGAATGCCAGACTGACCCAGATCAGTCTGAATATTTCCACAAAAGGCTCGTTGTGCTATGTAGACCCTTATCCAGAGGCTCATCCTGGATTTTGTAGGTTAACTGTGTCTGCTGTGACTTGAATGTAAATACCATCCCCATCCCCAACTATGTGTTATAACACTTGGTTCCCAGCCACAGTGCTCTTAGGAGAGGTTGTGGAAACTAGAAGTTGCAGCCCCTTGGGAAAAACTGGGGTGCTGAACGTGGTAGGCCGTGAAGGGTATAGCTTAATCCCACTTCTCATCTGGATCAATACTTCCTGTCCAGCACCGAGTAACAAGCAGCTGCTACTGGCTCCTGGTGCCATAAACCATGCCCCCGGCTATGCCATCTGTGACATGATGCCCTCTGACCCCCCAAGCTTTTAGTCACAATAGACCCTCCCTTGAGTTGCATCTGTGGAAAGGAGCTAAAGTAATGCCCCCGCTTGGTTTAGGGGTGCCACAGGTTGTGATGACTCTGCTGCTGCAGTGCAGGGCTGGGAGGGAGTCAATGGCCGAGTTCAGAGATGGGATCTAGAGTCAGGGAAGTTTTCCTCCATCTGAAGTACATGCTGGTCACCTTGTGTTTTTGCAGATTTGTAGTCTTAACAGGACTAAAAGTTCAAGGTTACCTAGCAGAAGACACACACATTTGCTGGTGCTTCCATGGGAACATCTGTGAGATCAACACTAAGGGCCCCATCCCAGCATAGATCTGTTTGTCAGATGGGATAAAGGAATGGCTGCATGGACCAGTGTGTGTTTGAATGTCAGTAATTCCAGGGATCATGTACCAAAGGCCCAACTTACTAAAAAAAAAAAAAAGGAGATTTTGCACCTCAAAGGTAATACTAAAAGTAATGTACTGTTTTGTTTTGTTTTAATATATCTAAAAGCAAACTTCATTCATTCCCCAATGTTTGCTATGCCAGGGTTTCTTCAGCCTTCTGCACCCACAACCCCTTTTCACTCCAGAAATTTCATGTGACACCAGCTTTGTAGGACTATAAAAGGGAAAAACAAAACAAATGAGCTGGCTATAAGTCATAAAGAAATTTTATTTAAAAATAGGGTTTTTTTGGAACCAGCAAAGTGGCATAAACCTTTAATCTCGGGGGCTCACTGAGAAGGCAGAGGCAGGTAGGTAGATCTTGGTGGTTCCAGGCCAGACAGGACTGGAGAGAGAGAGACAGAGACAGAGATAGAGAGACACAGAGAGCGAGAAGACAAATTTGCCTACTAATGAAGTGGTGTTTCTTTGTCTTGCAGTACCATACAAGCAAACTAATTTGCTACTTGCTTGCTAAGGAGTAATAGTGGAAAGTGTTGGTGTTTGTTTTCTGTAATTAGACCATCATGTTTCTTTAAGAACAATGTGTGCAGTGAAAGCACTACAATTCAAGACTTGAAACACTCCATCTGAGTTGAGACGCCTCAGGCAGCATATGTTGGCGGTGTGTGGTGTGACAGTATGCACGGTGCAAAGTGTCGGTTGTTCCTAAGCAAAGCTACAGTGAAGTCCCGAGATGACAGGAGAGCTGTTGCAGGAACACCTCAAGTCCATTGAGCATTTGGTTTCTAATTAATCTCTAATTGTTAAACACCACCAACTTCTACTGTTGCCAAATATTTTTTGTAACCCCTGTCCCCCTTACATTCAGTTACACAACCCAGTGCAGGGTCATGCTCCACCAATTAGAATCTTTGCTCTACATATGTAAATGTAAATAAATAAAGTATTACAAAAGAGGAGGCTCTCCGGGACCAGGAACAGGGAATAGTTTGGACATGTGTGTGACTGTTAACACATGTCAGAGAGTTGCATCCTAAGAATTAAAAGTCAACAGGCCTCCTTTTCAGTACTGACAACACCCTGAATGTCAGTGTTATGGTCCTGTCTTGGTTGTTAGCTCTAGCCCATGACTTGCACTGACCTAAAAGTTAGAAACATCACATTTCCAGAAGGTCCCTAAACCCACCTGGGGTGGGGGAGGGGTTTCTGCAGTTCCTCTACACCCTGCCCTTCCAGCGATACACACAAAGCAGAACTGGACAAATGGAGGCAGATGGCCGCAGCCAGCCTTCCACTCCTGCACAATGTTCTGTGTGCACCAAGTTCTGCTCTCTCAAAGGACAGCATGTGTCTGCTCTGACTCGACGTCTGAGGAGTGGCTTTTAGTATCAGTGATCTGAAGAGAGAGTCATTAAAAAAACACAACTCTCTTACCTCCCTTCCCAGTAGACTATGAACGAGTGTTTTGAGTCTGTTTGGGATGTTGTAACTAAAGGTTAAGCTGGTGGCTTGTAAACAACAGGATTTTATTTGTTACCATATCAAAATGTCAGCAGATCAGTTGTTTAGCCAAGACCCATTCCTGGTAGTCTTCTGGTGTTGAGAAGGTGGAAGGATCCCTTAGGCTCCTTTCGTACTCAAGTCTCATTCACCTCCTAAAGGCCCTGCTTCCTGATACCATCACATTGTAGGGTTCCCATTATAAGAATTGGGGGAGACACAGACATCCTGGATCATAGCAACAAGATGTGGTTCAGTCCATGTTGCCAAGAAAAGAAAGGCTGTGTAAGTTCAGGTACAGCCGTGCTAGTGACTGGGACACCCTGACTGGCTAATAAATACAGTAGCGAGAAGTGGCCAGCATGCCCCTGGGATTGGACTCCGGGCTGTTTCCTCTCCCTTACACGTGTGCTTCCGTTCATTTCTGTGTCTCACTCCGTGTGTTTTGCACAGACATAGCAGGTCACATTTCTGATTCTGTTTTGGGGTTTTCTTCCCCACCCCACTCTTCTGCAGGTACATTCATTGAAACTTGCCCTAGAAGGTGTGGAGAAAGAGAGGGATTTCTACTTCGGGAAGTTGAGAGAGATCGATCTGCTGTGCCAAGAACGTGGGCAGGAAAACGATGACCTCATACAGCGACTAATGGAAGTGCTCTATGCTTCAGACGAACAGGTGAGTGTGCTACCTGCCCCTGGGTCTAAAACAACTCCTGTTCAAAGTGCAGCACACCCATGCATCTTACACACTTCCCTGGGGTCTTGATGAGGTTACAACTTAGCTGGCGTCCATGATGGTCCAAGAGAAATAAGTATGCTTGCCATCACGATCTCTGTTCTCCCATGCCTGTGAGATGTGCAGCCATAAGTTAATGTGGGAGGAGTCAGGCAGAGGTGGGGACAGCCAGACCCCAGGAGGTTCTCAGCTTTGAGCAAATGGACAGGAAAGGGTTGTGTGAAGGTCTGCTTTCTGAGAACTGTTAAGTGAGAAAACAACTTTTCCCATCCCTTTGAGCTCCATTTTGATTACTGTTGTCCATTTTGATTACATAGCTGGTTGACTTTGTTTCTCATTGCTAGGACAGACCAGACTGTGGGGCAGACCTTATGGAAAATACTTCTTTGTAGGGATGACCTGCCACTGAGCAAGCGTGCCGGGGAAGACCAGGAATGTGGCTTTGTGAAGGCCATGAAAAGATGTGCTGGGCATGTGGAGCACACCTGTCATCCTAGCATTTGAAAGATGGAGACAGGAGTGTCAGGAATACATAGTGAATCCAGGGCTATCCTGGGCTGCATGAGACCTGTTTAAAAACAAACAAACAAACAAACATGGAAGCCAGTTATCGTGACACATGCCTTTAATCCCAGTACTCGGGAGGCTGAGGCCAGTGGATCTCCGTGAGTTTGAGGCAAGCCTTATCAATACAGCAAGTTCCAGGCCAGCCAGGGTTACACAGTGAGACCCTGTCTCAAAAAAAGAAAAGAGAAGAGAAGGGAAAGGAAGAGGGAAAAGGGGGAAAGAGAAAGGAATTGAGGAGAGGGGAGAATAGATGCTGGGGGTTAGGGAAGGACATTCCGGACGAAACAGTTGACAGGAGGGATAAACTACAGAAACCTCAGTGAGTCAGCACAGCCTGTATCTGCCAAGAGGGCAAAGCTGGGCCCCCGAGGAGAAGTCAGAGGCTGATTGGAGTTTCCCCCTTCTACAGAGCTCAGCTGTGGGAGGCAAGAGGCCAGGGCCTGGCTTTGAGCTTCTCCTTACCCTAGGCCAAAGCTGCTGAAGTGTTTGGCCCTCTGACCTGGAGGTCCGTGGGTGCTCTGAGGGAACTGGGGTGGGGGTGGGGTCACATGTGTTAGCATTTCCATAGACCATAGCGAGCCACCAGAAAGCTCATGTTGTCTTGTTCCAGCCAAAGGCAGATGTTTCCTCCACATATGGCGTAAAATCCTAGCACTGGAACTTCCACCGGCTACAGGGAACTGTGCCAGGTTTGGGAACGCCCCAGCATGGCTTTCGTTTCTCTCAATTTTTTTTTTTTTTTTTGTAACTTCTTTCTCTGACCAGTAGCTCAAAGTGTGGATTTTGAAGCCTTGGAACTCCACCTAGTTAAGTCCCTGAGGCCATGATGATGTCACAGAAAGTGGCTCTCAGCATGGAGGCTGGTTTGCAGTGTGCCTGTGACCACTGAGGACATACATAATGTGGTCTGGCAGGCACACATCAATTACAGTAGCTGCGTGAGATGACGCTAGATGAGCACTGCAAATCCTGGAAGGCTGAGTGCATGGGGCTGCCATCTCGGGCCATGGGTGCTAGCGGGAGCAAGGCCAGCATGCATGCTTCGATCTTCCCATCTGTGCCCTCGTAGCAGGAAGGAAACCCTATTCAAAGCCAGAACTGGTCCCAGGAGGGAGACCTAGTGCTGGAGTGTGGCCACTGACTTCCTGGCTGAGGACAGGCAGGTGAGCCTAAGGCAAGAACTCCAGGTGTGATGTGAGGAGGTCCTGCCTGGATGTCCATACTCAGTTTTATTCTGCCACTGCAGTCCCCAACACACACTAGTGTCCCTTGCCACCTACTAGAACCACAGAACAGTTGTTATACTATGGACGTGGTTACAGAGCACTCATGCTGAAAGCTCCTTTGCTGAGTCAGGCTGAATGGGTTTATTAGGTCCTTCCGCAAACACCTGGAGTGGGGCCTTTGCACTTTGCGTATAGTACTTTATTAGGTCTTTTAGTTCTCTTGAGAATCTTATTGAGTACATATTATCCTGTTTTATAGATGAAGTCAGCAAACAGCTTCCATACTTTGTAAACAACTAGAATCTGAATCCTGAGCCCATGCTCTCCCATCTCTATTTGAGTGGATAGGGGTTTGCTTTTTCATGGGGTGTTTGGTACTGGGTATTAAACTCAGTCTTGTGTGTGCCAGGCACATGCTCTACCACTGATCAGCACCTTAGCCTTGGATTATCATCAAGTGAAGAGAAATGTGCTAAGAGAGACCAAGACATGAGCATACCCACTGAACTAACCCAAAGCCAGGAAGACTGTGAGAGGAAGCAGACATTGTCCTGAAGGGAAGTAGACTTCATCCCTGTGTGTGGCAGCAGTGTCTTTGCATGCAGCCCCTGGCTTAGTGTTTCTAGTTCAGGATATATCACATTGCACCTCTGTCTGGAAAATTCCCAAGAGGCATCAGGCTACAGTGAGATTCCCACAAGGAATAAGGCATTTGGTCCACAGTATGCCAGGATTCCATGCTTAGAGTGTGACAAGACTGGAAACCAAGCAAGAAAAGGAAAGATTATGTACAAGCACCATGCTGGGTGGGTATATAATATGCTGTGCACAAGTATACATACATACAGAGAGAGAGACAGAGAGAGAGGGAGAGAGAGAGAGAGACAGAGAGAGAGAGAGAGAGAGAGAGAGAGAGAGAGAGAGAGAGAGAACGCTCTGTGCAGAGGCTCTGTTCTGTTTCCTTGTTGGAGGCTCAAGGAGTCATCCAAGAAACCTCAGAGGCTTGAAGCATCCTCCTTCCTCTCTTCCTCTCTGAGGAGCACGGGTCTCCTCAGGCTTCTGTGGCAGCCTCCCTGAAGCACATAGAGCACTAGAGAGGAATGGGTCTAAGAAAGTGGATACCTACCCTTGAAGGGCATCACTTTGGAAATTCATGCTCCAGGTCATTATACAGTACCACCCACAACCCCCAGATCTTCCTTTTGTTCCACTGTGCTTGCCCTGATGCTACATCCTGTTTCCAGGCCATTCCCACACCTAGGTGATGAGTAGGTCTGTGCTCCTGTGTGGGTCTGATGTGTATGGAATCCAGGAAGAAATATTTGTTATTTTGTTTGAGTCTCTCAGCATGAGTATATAACTACCTGAGGTGGCTGCCTAGCTTTCCTAGAGGTGGATGGAAGATGGGCTGAGGAATCAAAGGCTGGATTGTTGGGAGTGCTCTTGGCTAAACGGTGTGAGCATGGCCTGACTTCCCAGAGCGAGGATTTGCTGTGTGTCTTAGGGTTTTTAATTGTTGTGAAGAGACACCCTGACCATGGCAGCTCCTATAAAGAAAACATTTCATTGTGGTTGGCTCACTTACAGTTTCAGAGGTTCAATCCATTACAATCATGAAGGGGACAATGGTGGTGTGCAGGCAGACATGGTACTGAAGCTGAGAGTCTTGCAGGCAACAGGAAGTTGAGTGCCTGTCACACTGAGGGAAGCTTGAACAAAAGAGACCTCAAAGCCTACCCCCTCAGTGACACACTTCCTCCAACAAGGCCATACCTCCTAACAGTGCCTCCCTTTGGAGGCCATTTTCTTTCAAATCACCATACTGGGTGATCTCTTCCTATGAGCGATCTTCAAGTCTTCTTTTGCCAGTGACTGGTCTCTGGCTCTGAGAGTCAAGCAGTCCCAGAACATGATGCTTAGAAAATGTAAAACTAGCTTAGAGCCAGGAGGTTATTCAGTTTTGAAGTGTGGCAGCCTGCCAGAAGGTTCCAGAACAGATTGCCAGCCAGGTATACAGTGCTTCTTTATCATTCTTATTACGTTTTCCCTTCCTATGTAACATGGGCCACAGGTGTCTTAGCTTAATCACTGGCTGGCTGCTGCCTGTGGAT